TGGCTTTAAATAGCAAACACTTATTTTCTCCTGGTTCCTGTGGGGCAGGAACTTGGAAGTGGCTTAGTGAGTGAGTCTGGCTCGGGGTCTCTCGTGAGGTTGCAGACAGGATGTTGGCTGGGGCTGCAGTTATCTGAAGGCTTGGCTGGGTCCGGAGGATCCATTCCCAAGATGGCGGCTCCCTCACATGGCTGTTGGCAGGAGGCCTCAGTTCCGTGCCTTGTGGGTCACTTCATAGGGCTGCTTGAGAGTCCTCACAACATGGCAGCATCTTCCCCAGAGTGAGTGGTCCAAAAGATAGAGCAAGGAGGAAGCTGCAGTGCCTTTCATGAGCTAGCCTTGAAGATGACACACTATGACTTCTATTCATTAGACACAAGTCCCTAAGTCTAGTCCTCCCTCAAGGGGAAGGGAATGAAGTCCCTCTTGAAGGGAAGAGTACCAAAGAATTTGTGGACATCTTAAAGTCACCACAGGTGGTAAGATAGATCTCTAGACACTGTGCTTTAAAAGTTTCAAATTACCTGTGGGGAAAATTTCGTGCTTCTCTGAAAAGGAGCTAGGGCAGTTGTGTTTTCCTGGCTAGCACGGGGGGATCGTCAGGACTATTAAAGAACACTGTTAGTTCACAACTTCAGATAAGAGTGATAACGATGCTACAAAAATAGTATCATTCATTCTGAGTTAATATTGTAAGGAAACCATCCATTGTATGAAAAAAAGAAAGCAGAGAGAAGAATGAGTTAGCCTAGCAGAGTTCCTCAGAACAAAAAAAAATCAAAAGTTTCAAAGCTTTTTTCTACCATTCAAGAAAGCATATTTGGACTTACATCTACAATATATAAAGAACTCTTAAAACTCAATAATAAAAAACAAACAAATAACCAACTTAAAAATGGGCAAAGGATCGGAATAGACATTACTCCAAAGAAGATGTACAAAGGGCCAATAAGTACATGAAAAGATGCTCAGCATCATTAATCATAAGGAAAATGCAAATCAAAACCACAGTGAGTTGCCACTTCACACCCACTAGGATGGGTGTTATCAAAAGACAGATAATAGCAGGTGTTGGTGAGGATGTGGAAAAACTGGAACCCCCATACACTGCTGATGAGAACATCAAATGCCTAACCCTTGTGGAAAACAGTCTGGCAGTTCCTCAAAAAGTTAAGCATAGAATTACTATATGATGCAGCAGTTCCACTCCTAGGTACATACCCAAAAGAACTGAAAACATGTGTCCACATGGTAACTTGTACATGAATGTTCATAGCAGCATTATGCATAATAGCCAAAAAGTGTAAACAAGCCAGATGTCCATCCGCTGATGAATGGATGAACAAAATGAGGTCTCTGCGTACAGTGGAATATTATTCAGCCATAAAAATGAAGTCCTGACACAC